ACACGTTGATACCAAACAACCTTTTACAACACCCCCTGTCTGGTTGACCCCAAAAATGGGGGTTTGCCCCCTGGGTATAGAATTTACAAAAAGTATATCAAAAATGTTCGTAAAGAAAATTTCCATAAAAAGAAGTGTTTTTCGCAATGTGATAACATATGTATTTTTCTTCCTGTAAAAAAATGCTTTTTCTCATCTATGGAATTGGGCATATTTAGGTACCATGCCAAATGAGTAATAATATTTTGATTTTTTTACTAATAGATAGCCTCATGGGAAGATGTGAAGAGGTTCTATCATGCTGACAACAGCTTGCCGGTGAAGCTAGCACCGAAAATCACTGCAAAACATATATATCTGCCACCATTTTCACCGATGAGGGTAAGAAAATTCCATAAGTGCATAATTTCATGTCTCAACGAGAAATGAGAAATCATCAGTGTTTTTAAGGAGCCACAGAGACAACTAGTACGTATACCTGGGGAAGAAATGAAGTTTAAAAGTTTTATAACCATTAAATTTAGTTTATTTTTAAAATTTGTAATCCTGGATCTTATCGCACGCAGCATGCTCATACTGTTTACCGTTTATGCAGATGAATATCCTAGTATGTGTAAATACAATTTAGATTTTCTAATTGTTTTGCAGGTCAGTCTTGCAGCACAGGTCTGCTCTCACAGTGTATGCTGCGATGCACATTCTGGCATCCATTGGGAGACTCGGGAGCCAAGCACACATGACAGCGGATTTCCTAAAACTAGTCAATGATGTGTTTGACCTTCTCAATGTGAGGGCATATGGAAAGACTGCTGCACCATTCATGGAACACAGTGACAAGCAGCTGAACACCCTACTGGATCTGAAAGCTCAGGCTGAGAAATGGCACATGATGGTGAAGGGGAAGAAGTACAGACCACCTTCATTTGATGGTCTCATTCAAGACATCAATGTTGTCATATCAATACATGAGGATTTGGTGGTGAAAGGGCCTTTGGAGTTTTTGCTTACTGGGCGCCTGAACCAAGACTGCATAGAAAACGTTTTTTCCCAGATAAGAGCGAAAGGAGGACACAGGTTTAACCCATCTGCACGAGAGTTCCGCTTTGCCTACAGAAACCTGGCGACAAATTTTATATTGGCGAGCCTTCCATCTAAACTGTGTCTATGACAACGACATAATGCTCAGCAGTTTGAGGCATCTATCCAGTGAAGCATGTAGCATGCATGAAGACCACTCACAGGAACCAGCACCAAAACGCCCTAGGACAAAACCCGAGCAGTCGTCTGTTGCACAGAAAGACCTCGAGGTTATTGCAACTGCGGACTTTGAAACTCCTGCAGAAGTGACCAATGTTCTTGCGTACATAGGGGGCTATCTAGTGCACAAAATTCAAGAGGTTTGAATTTTTCTGTGAGGATTGTCTGAGGATTTTGCTGACAACAGAGGATGACGTAGTAGAGGATGGACAACTGTACGTGCATCTAAAGGCTTACAGTCACAAGAAAGGTGCATTTGGAGCATTGAATGCACCATCAAGAGATTTTATGCGCATCCTGAAGCAGGTCGAGAACACTTTTCAGCAAAACATTGGAGATCTGCTTGCTAGCACTAGCCTGTTGAAAGAGCTTGAACAATATGTCTGCAACCGTGTCGCGCTGTCCACATTGGAAGTGTTATCTATGCACACACACATTGTGAAAACACTTGTTATCATGTACCTCAGATGCCGCCTTCATTACTACTTTAAGTATGAAACAAGGCGACTTCTACAGGAGAAAAGCAAGCGTAATCGAAAGGCTCAGGCCGTTTTGCATGTGTGAAACATTAAATCAACTGGTGAATGTTTAGCTCATCTGGCATAGTCAGATGCAGCTTGTAGAATCGCATGATTGTCCGTCCGTCCGAGCGTCCGTCCGTCAACAGTTGGGCACAAATCTAAACCGCTCGTCGTACAGTCACGATATTCGGGACGTGGGGGGGTAATCCGAAAACGAGTTGGGATGTCGAAGCTGGGGGTCAAAGGTCAAGAGGTGTAAAAGAAGGGGGAACATTCCCACCTTAACTTAAGGTATAGGGAGGAAATGCAGAATTGTGGCACAAATCTCAACGGCTCGACCTAGGCTCGTGATAGTCGGTGTATAGCATCATGTGTCGAAATTGGAGGTCACATGTCAAAGGTCAATGGGGCATACTCGTAAGGTAGTATGATTATGCATGACACGAAGTATTTGCTATTCTAGTACTGGAGAAATTAGCGTGTAGATGCACATAGTGCGGCTTTAAAGTTAGGTTGTGTTACAGTATGGACTGCAGCAGCCAACATTGTTCGAGAGTGTTCGCTGGTCGCTATTTGTTGATCTTGACTATGTAGTAAAATATTGTAAATAATTGATAAAATTGTGCTTATTACTGTGCTTTCATTAAAGTTAGGTTGTGTTACAGTATGGACTGCAGCAGCCAGCATTGTTCGAGTGTGTTCGCTGGTCGCTATTTGTTGATCTTCACTATGTAGTAATATATTGTAAATAATTGATGAATAATTGTGCTTGTTACTCTGCTTTCACTAAAGTTAGGTTGTGTTACAGAATTGAGACTAAGAATTCTGTCAATACCAGCATTTAATATCGTATTTAAACGTGCATGAACGTTAAATAAAAGACATTTTAGTTTAGTCTTTATTTCATAATTTTCTTGTTAGTGTTTTTTTGTGTTAATCTTAGATGACCAGCAATATTAAGTTGTTTAAAACTGATAGTGGGCGCACATATACTGTTGCTCAATATGTTGACTTCAACCGCGTATATTATCCGTTTATCAACAGTGTCACGTCGTCGATCTCCACCGGACATGCCAAGCGACTGAGGGTCAACCACGGCTGCTAATGACTCGTGCTGTGGACGGAGCATTCCCAAGTCCCGAGGTGTTTAGCAACCAAGCCTACACCAACCCAAACTCCAGCGACAAGTTTCTCCGGACACCGTGCGTCGTTGGGAATGCCGCGAGAACTGTTAGTGTTACACTTTTATGTTTTATGCATTTTGGCAGTGATACCGCTCTTGTATGTGAAACAGTTCCGAGCCTCCAGCCTTTGGTAAAGTAATTATTACGAGAGTTTTCCAGTGTTTTCATCACTTTCATGATACCTACCGTTATTGCTTGAGTAGGCAACTCATCTAGAGTAACGATAAAATGTCTAGAACCTTCGTATTCACTAAAAACATGCAATTTTCGAACTAGTTTGTTAAACAATCGTGTGCTGTAATGTTGAAGCCGGTAGTCTTGGACTAGCTAGTAACGCCGCCTATCCGCCATAGACATAGTACAGTCTCTCTCAAATGCAGTTGTTTTCAATTTATCACCGACAATTTACAAGATTACCAATTCTGCCATTATCGCGACACGATAAAATGCATTGCTGTTACGATTTGTTCATATCCAATTTTCTGTGCTATAAGCCTATAACTGCATAAAATCTTAGTGTTTTTAATGCTGGTGAAATCAGTGATATATCCACTGTGAGGTGAGACAATATTTCGCTATAATTTTATGGGTTGAAGGTTTCTGAGCAAAACTCGTAATAACGGCTTTAAGTGAAATTGTACGTATTGCTCGGTTATTGCGTGCTTTAAGCCGGCTCTTTACTGTGTCACGTTCTTATTGTGTTATGAATCTACCTATCGTATACAGCCGATCCGCGTATATATGTAAGTGTATTAGTCTGACGCTATTCTTTGATTAAACGCATTGGTTGAATGGCCGATGCATAAAGTAATTCATCTCCGTTGTTGATCTATGTCTTCCTCGTTCGCACCACACACCACGCGGCGGTTCAGCCAAATTCACAATCCAGCGATCGTATCTTAGTCTAAGATGTAATAGACCGTACCTCCAAGAAAAGGTCATACATCAAGATGTGTATATTGACGTTATAGTCACACAGCCTGGTCGCCAGTGGTCGGGCTACTTAGACCAGTGGTAACAACCGGAGTGGTTATTGCGACATAACACAAGGGCGATCATTCTATCTCTATCTGTAGTACATCTATTATTAATGAGTATGTTAATTATTAATTTATATCTATTGTCGTTTATGTAGACTTCCTTTTACTTTTAGTCCCAGGACAGCAGATAAGGTCTATGTCCCCCTGACCTCTATTTGACCTGGCTCGTTTAGCTATTTCTGACTAATATATATATATATATATATATAGATATATATAGGGGTTAGGTTTAGGCCTCGGTTAGTCAGAAAAATAGCTAAACGAGCCGCAGTCCAAACCGAGGTCAGGGAGACTAAGACGCCGAAAAAAAAAAAAAAAAAGAAAAAAAAAAAAAAAAAAAAAAAAAAAAAACAAAAAAGGAAAAAAAAAAAAAAAAAAAAAATAAAAAAACAAAACAACAAAAAAACAAAACAAAAAAAAAAAAAAAAAAAACAAAAAAAAAAAAAAAAAAAAAAAAAAAACAAAAAAAAAAAAAAAAAAAAAAAGAAAAAAAAAAAAAAAAAAAATAAAAAAAGAAAAGAAAAAAGAAACACACATAGAAAAAAAACAAAAAAAAAAAAAAAAAAAAAAAAAACCGAAGCCCGGCAGCAGCACACTTGCTCATATCAGTCTATCCACCAGGCAGTATACAGCCACTGCCGTATACTACAACTGCAAGTCCAATTTCCCGCCACTATGATAGTACTGTACATAACCCGATAAGACTAGGTCATAGGCTATATGACTGCAAGATCATAGATGATTGATACGGCTAGAGCAGGGGTGGGCAAACTACGGCCGCGGGCCGCATGCGGCCCTCTACAGGGTCTCTGTGCGGCCCGCGCGAAGGCCTACAGCAAATAAAAAAAAAAAAAATAAATTTTTTTTTTTTTAAATCAATAGATTTTTGTGAAAGTCAACATGTTTGTGCTTGAACCGAGGCTGACTTTTTCAGTGTCATACAGATTACTGTTCTATTGTCTCTGGTTCGCTCTGCATTTCAGCTAATTATGGTCCAGAAATGGCGCCCTTGTGGCAAAACGCACGTATTATCTTAGAGCGCAATCGCCTGATTTAAAAGGTGCGGCCCTTCGACTTTCATGGCCCACTGATGCGGCCCTCGCTTTGAAAAGTTTGCCCACCCCTGGGCTAGAGGGCCTACCGACTACCGCCCGGTATGTAAACATGCAAACTTGTAAAGACACCTACGCTCGCTTCATAATTACTACTAATAGTCGTTAGTCTACCTATAACAAAGTTATACTTTCTCTTTAATTAGATTACCTCCTGCGAAACAAATTTCAGTTGCGGCTCGTGATTATTTTACTATCAAAACGAGAAGCTCTTGAGCGTTATAACAGTAAACATACCACGCCATATCCAAATTACGACCACAACCAATAGGCGGCGCTAGTATTCAATTCTAAAAATGGCTGCCCAATAGGAATTGCGCTGAGTGACTATGCTCGTTGATATAAGTGCTCTGAGCACTGATCTCTATAATATAATCATGAATATAATCATGAATATGATTATATTATAGAGATCAGTGGCTCTGCAGAGGCGTGTTCAGGAGAGCGAGCGCTCGATGCGAACGCTCGATGAACGAACGCAGCGCCTCCTGAACAGCAAACGAGCGCTCGCTGTGCGCTCGCTGTGGCGCTTGCTGATCAAAGATGGCGGCCCCCATGGAGGGTTTACTCAGCAGATCTTAATCGCGAGAGAACAAGTACTGTTAAACGAATTAGCAGAGAGAAATTGAATACAATTGAATTTAAAAGTAAATGAATGAATGAAAAGTGAAATAAAAGTTTTGAAATAGATTGCAAATTGACGTCCAGAAATGTTTAGTTCGCATCGCCAGATTTTTCGTCGCCATCTGTAACAACTCGCGCACTGAGCGAACAGCTTTTTCAAACCTGCGCGCAAACGCTCGTCGCGCTCGGCATCGCGGCAGTGTCGTTCAGAAGGCGAGCGCCTCGCGAGCGTTCGGTCTCCTGAGGCGTGTTCAGGCGAATGCGAATCTAACATTTCTGACGTCAATTTTGCAATCCTATTTCAACTTTATTTCACTTTTCATTCATTCATTTACTTCTAAATTCAATTTGTATCAATTTCGTCTGCTAATTCGTTTAACAGTACTTGTTCTCCGCGATTAAAATACTGGCTGAGTAACCCTCCATGGGGGCCGCCCATCTTTGATCGAGCGAGCGGCACAAGCGAGTGCACAGCGAGCGCTCGTGTGTCGTTCAGGAGGCGCTGCGTCGTTCATCGAGCGTTCGCATCGAGCGCTCGCTCTCCTGAACACGCCTCTGAACACGCCTGTCAAAACTGGCATGGCAGCGCCTCTTTCGCAACACGTCATATACGCTGACACGTGACCACTTATTAAAATCACTACGCGTTCATTACCGCTGTTAGGTTAGAGGATGTGACCGTCTCGCCGATCCAATGCGAGGGCCTGCAGCTCGTGCACTAAAGCTGATGCGACGTTTGTGATTGGCATTGATTTTAGGCTGGCTATTGTGTGTGTCAATGACATGCACATGGAGATGGGTGGATGGTTACTGGGTGATATAAAACGAATTCTTTCAATGTATAGCCCCCATTCGACTGCGCGACTGTTTTTTAGGCACAAATGTGGTGTCGATTAGTAAATTCGCGATATTTTTTTAAAACGCCGGACAACATTTGTCATAATTCTAATGGTGCACAGCTGAAGTACACTGGCACCTAGCTTTAATATTGCCACTCGCCGAATAACGACCGAAATACTATTTTCAGCTCGCTGAAAGTCAATTCTTAAGATATAGGATCCTATGGAGATATTTAATAGTGGTCTGTTTCTCTGTCACGCTGAAAAATGTTACTGGAATTTTCACATTTTTTTAATATTAATGACCTGCGAGTGCCGGGCAGTTAATTTTCCTCGGCTTCTCGTGCCTACTGCAGTGCAGAATGTCGTAGAGTGTCATTTATTGTGTAGATTGCGCTAAAGTTGGACTCGGAGAAGTTAATGTGTAAGTTGAGAACAAATCTGGCGACATTTCTAAGTGAAGGAACAGCACATTTAGCAAATAGAAACTTTTGATTGCAAATAACGAATTCATTCTAGTTCGTAATACTAACGTCAATACTATACTTAAGCCAGCTCTCGGTCCGCGATTTTAGTCATGGCAATACTAGGCTTAACCCTATCCCTAACTTGTTACGCCCCCCACACACACACACACACACAGACAGTTGAAGAACCCTGCTTTCATTAAATATCATCGTCGCGACTAACAGTCGCGAATAGTCTTGCTATTGCTAAATTCTACTGCTAAGACGTTGTACTTGTATTATTGTATCAGGTTTTATTTCTAATTCTGTCATTGAATGTCATTCCTATGATTTTTTTAGGAAGCTGAGGTTGCATATGATTGTATGATTGCCATGCAGTCGTTGCATCTACCACCTAAGGAGGCCTATAGGAATCGCTATCGGCACGCAGCGTAATTATCGGCATGAAGAGACACTGCGAATTCAAGAATGATGCTTGGGTAACAATTTTTATACAACATTCGTGTCTTGTCACGAATTAATTGCATTGTTTATTGCGTGACAAGTGCTTTCATCGCTAGAAAAAAGAA